AAGCTGCAGCATTTTTACAAACCAGTTCTGGTTCATCTATTTCATTCAACGATCCACTATCGCCGCCATGCTTTATCCGCCATGTGCTTCTGTAAACAAAGGCACCGCACATGCACGTTTTACCCATATTCTATCGCCATATTTCATTTTCCTATTGTTGCCCAAAATTATACCAGTATTACCGTGAACGGTATGATATGGCCCAGCACTAGTTTCATGTGTGTTTTCTTAATAATCTGTACTGTCATTTGGGGGCTGAGGGCAAGATTCCTTGTACATGTCATTAATACCATCTGGGGAACATGCATCATGCTTCCTACACATGTGAGAAGTAAATGATGACTTTTTTGTAAACACATGCGTACAACCACTTAGTGAACATGACACAGCCCGGCCCTCTGCAATATGATCAGTTAAGTGAGACACTAGCTCTTTCACTGTGTGAAAATGGCGGGCACATAATGAAACCGCACATTTTAAATCTGCAATAAGAGCTTTAGGAGCAGCTTGAAGTGCAGGTGCATTGGACACATGATAAAAATGCCCCTTGAAAGAAAAGTGGTGAATGTTTGACTACAATTACAACGCATTTGAAAAGACAACAAGGCTCATTCGTATGCACTCTGCAGTCTAGTGCACAGCCTCTTAATGTGACCAATATCTTTTTACAAAAGATGCAGGTGATCATTTTTAGTATTTCAAAAGTTTGCCTGTGCTTTTCAGCTGAACTAGCTGCTAGCACCTAGTTATCAAGTATTAGTCTAAATATCAACTGGTGCTAGTGATGTTTTGGTTTAGAAAAAAAAGTAGCATAGATGTTAAACTTACCATGCAAACCTTCAGATGAACAACCACAAATCGTCAAAAATACACTTAAAATCGTATATTTGTGATTTGACCTAAACACGTCGTTGGTAAAAGTTCGTCTTCTGCTCCGTGTTCTCTCCACTCTGCAGATAGTGTGTGCTGCTGCTGGGTCGTTCGCTGTACTGAACTAGGAGCTCGTCTCCTAAATTTGATTATAATCACACATTGATGTTGTAAATATAACAAAAACATTCTGTTTAATAGTTTACAAAAGTCCACTGTGATTGAAACAGAAAAACTGTGTTTTGGGGTTTACTATTCATTTCTGTAGGAATTTTACATGGTTTTCATGTCAATTTCACTGCCATTTTTTACAGTGTATCCAAAGCACAGTATGCATCTAAATGCATCCATCTATAGTACAGTATGGTTCTTTGCTGGGGTGACAGTCCAAATTTATTGTTTTCATACTATCAATATGTGAGACAATCATTTCATAATCATCGATTCAAGATTAATCAGTGATTCCTCAAAAAATCAACAGTTTTACTGGTTTGTTCGCATCAGGCTTTTTCCCCAGAGGTTCGAATGACAAATCCACAGTTGATGTAAACTTAATGAAAAGATTTGTTTCAGTTTTACAGCTTGACAGTTGTACTTAGCATGTTTAACAAACAAAGCCAAAATGAATAATTTAATCACATTTGCATTCATGTTCATTTCACAATAATAATGATAAGGTCAAATATATGAGAGACTCATTTCATCCATCGAAGTAGATACAGTTTACACTAGTTTGTTTTTTTACAGATTAAAACAAAAATATTTAATTGGCGTTATTTTTGTTCCACTATTCTGAGCGCATGCAAAAAAATATTGCAGGTGCAAGCAGGGCTCTAGAGTGCGACCAAATTTGCAACCAAACTTTTCAGTGGTGCGACTAAAAAAATATTTGGCCGCACCTGTGTGACCAACTGTTCGGGTGGCAAAAAAAACAAAAAAAAACAAATCTGCAACCTTCCCTGTGGTCAACAACAGACACACATTTTGTCCCTATCGTGGACTAAACCAGTCAGAGATAGTAAGGGGCGGGACCTCTCTGATTGGCCGTGGTCCAGTTGAAACTGCAGGTGGAAGAGAGAGGTGAGTAGCTTGAATAAAGCGATATCAATTCATTAAATCCTGAATCGACTTTTAAATATAACTGTGTTTGGCCAGAAACGCCAGATTCTCAGATTAAAGCTCACAAAACCATTTCAACAACAACCATACAGCAGATGAGAGCAGGTACACGGATTCCACACAAAGACGTAAACACAGAACGGACCGACGCATCAGAATCAGCTTTGTCTTTCTCGGCTTTCTCACCCGACGGCCCGCAGACGGACACGCTGTCGGAGCTCAGCGATCCTGATGCGTCCGGTCCGCGCTGTGTTTACGTCTTTTTGCGCTGATTCTGAGCTGCAGGTTTTGTCTCTCCAACCAAAATCCACCGAGCCAGCAGCAAAAGAAGCAGCAAACTGCGCTTCACATTTGATCAATGTCGTCATGAATTCCCTCTGGGTTTCGCTGTTTTGCTTCCACCACGATAAAAATCACACTTCCTGCACAGCTCTCTCTCTCTCTGTACTTCAGGAACAGTTTCCCGTCTCAAATCTGTTTTCTGCATTATTCATTCGCTTATTACCCACCAGTCTACTGTTGTTCACAGCGCTTTTTCTTTTTTCACTTAAATGACCTCGGACAAGAAAGCCTAATTTCTGCTGTTCAATACTGAAGAAATTTAAATTTCTTAAAATTATGCAAAATTGCAGAATATTTTTAAGGTTATCTGCTATAAAAAGCCAGACCAGGAAAATCCTGTGTTTTATTCTCAGTTACTTTCACAAAAAGGCATCTGCTGTGATTTTCACAATTCTGATGAAGTCTCATGTGTATCAGTACTGATAAATGATCAGAATTATAATATTTCTGACTGTCTGAGGCTAAATTGAATCAAATCAGGACTTTGAGAACTGGAATCAAATGGATTATAGAAATCAGTGATGATACCCAGCACTAGTGAACAGCCTAGGCCTGACAGAAGTGGATGTAGCTGTGGGTAATAAGAAAAGATGAAAAGAACTATTGATAACTTTTTTGTTAAGTTAAGGCCTGATCTGTCTGAAATTCATAGCCAGCTCTGACACGATGCCATCAATTTCTGAACGCTGAAAAAGCAGCAGTGTATCCAGAAACACATTATATGCTGCAATAAATGCCCAAGTGTCCCCTCTCCCCACGGCCTTTCAGCAGCAGGAAGCAGCAAACAGGTCGTCAGAGGAGCCGATGTGATGATTAAGTTTAACATTTTCTACAATATTGACAAAGCACTTTAAGTACAAGATTGTTACTTAATCATTTAGAAATGAATATTGTCTGTATGGACTGCAATTCTCCCCAGAAAAGTGCACATGCAAAACTGCGATGTGGTTGAAAAATGTGAGTGCGCCTAACTTTTGTACCGGTACGCCTAACTGGCAAAAAGTTAGTCTAGAGCCCTGGCAAAAATCATATTTTTTTGTATCCAAGTCTGTGATTGGCTGGTTTTGTGGCACAAATATAACGGTGTAGAGAAAGAGTTGAGCGCGCACGGGCAGAAATGTTGAGAGCGCGAGCGACACATTGCGAGCGAGCGCAAATGCAAAAACTGAGCGAGAGGGACTGCTGGTGTGTGTGTGTGTGTGTGTGTGTGTGTGTGTGAGAGAGTGAGAGAACTATGGACACGCACACACATACACACACACACGCACACATACTGATACTGATAAGCACTCACTGACGCATCACCCGCCCTACCCCGGATCCAACGCCACCTCCAACGCTTACCTCCCCTCTGATGTGGACATCGGGTCAGCTGGAGGCGCAGTCGAAGATTGCAGCGGTCCCAGATCAGATGTGCACACTGGAACTCTTTCCCATGTTGCTGTCTCTGTTTATTGTGCTATGGTGTGTTGATATCTGTGCATTCCTGTATTATCCTTCTGTGTTACACATTTCGATGTTTTTTTCCTCGCTACCTAGCCTGACCTGTCTCCCCAATGTGATGTTTGTGTATTGTATGTACGGTCGGCAAGGTCTGTCATCTCAGTTGTGGGCAAAAGACCTGCAACTGACAAATAAAGGCTATCTCATCATCTCAAATTTAGCTTTTCTTCGCTCAAAATAAATTTCTCCTCAAAATGCAACACTTGCACCTGCAAACTTTTTTTTACGTGCGCTCAGAATAGTGGCACAAAAATAACGCCATAGCATAGTGGTCGGGAGATTTGGAGTCAACAGCATCCATGACACACAACGTAACGTGCGATAATGTGTCGTGCGCAAAAGCATCAGCTCTATTATATTTTCCTTTTTCCTTCGGGATTAATAAAGTATTCTGATTCTAAGAGCCGTGCTTACAGAGCGCTTTGTAGTGAGTGAGAGCCGCTCCTCACTTAATTTCCTTTTGCTGCTCAGCTCTCACACAGTGGCTCAGCTGTGCTCCAATCCCTCCGTATTGTGGCCAATCACATGCGAGGATATAGGATAATATCATTATCAATATCATACGAAGCAGCATCTGGCTGCAGTTTAAAGACTTTTTTGTCTTGGTCTCGTCTCGACTTTGTCTTGGTCTTGGTCTCAGTATCCTCTGGTCTTGGTCTTGGTTTAGGCGGTGTTGACTACAAGTCTACTGGTCAGCCAGGGCCGGACTGGGACAAAAAATTGGCCCGGGCATTGAGACCGGCCCACCAGGTATTATAGGAAAAACCATAAAGCCTTTGAATGAAAACAAACACTGCTGTGACAGTGATGTACACTGCCTTGTTGGTATATATGTATGATCTGTATCACCTTCATGTTTCCCTCTCACCACATATCCAAACCGACATCATGACCAGCAGCTTTACAGCTGTGGCTCCAGCAAACATCAGCTGATACTAGAAATTAATATTAAATAAATTCCAACAACAGCTGATCAAGCTTAATAAATTTCTCCTCAAAATGCAACACTTGCACTTGCAAATTTTTTTACGTGCGCTCAGAAGGCACAAAAACAACGCCATAGCTTAGTAGCCATCCTTGTTTCTTGTATTCATGCAACTCATGTGCTTCCTATTTTTCAGAAGTTATTGAATCAGCATGTTCTGTGGTTCAGGTGAGTACGCACATTAATAGCAAAATAGATGTCATTTTTATTACCATCAATTACATAGCATTGTTAAGGTAAAAACAGATTTATACTTCACAGAAAGTGATTGTAAACAGTTTTCCTGATCTGAAAGATGATTAAATGTGCAAAATCAGTGTTTTGTCTATTAAAGACTGATGACCCTGAGCTGAGTTCCTTACCTGACAGCCACCTGATTGATTACTTTGCTATCTCATTAATGTAAAGCGGTGACCTAGGCCCAATTGGAACTGCATAGTTAATAATCATTACATCAAATCAGTAACTGGATCTTTACAAATCCAGAATCAAACCAGAATCAATTCACGACAGGGCACAGTTATTTCCCATCGTTGTATCACTGAGAGGTATGGTCGACTCATCGATGGTGAAGACCTGTTTTCGGAACTGTTCCCAGTCTGGCCTGCAAAGTGGCAGCTCTGCTTGGAAGTGCTTCCAGAACCTAGAGGCCAAGACGAGGTGATTAAAGTTCATACAGTCACAGTAGCACAGTGTCCCTGTGGATGCAGCCTAAGTTACTGTTCTTTAGCTGTAACTGACACGGACCCTAAATACATCACATGCAGGTAATTATGAAGTCAGTCAAAAAAGAGCAGAATCAAGGATTTCCCATTTACAACATTACATGGTTGTGATAGCTAAGCTAAGAGTTATTAGGCTTGAAAATGGCAATGAATATTCTTAACAAAATAAACATGCTGTAACAACATGTGTGTCTGAGTGCTCCTCCTACATAAAGTAAAATACATCAAAATTATATTTTGCTAAATAGTATTGTGTATTTTGATCTGTGTGTATAATCAGATATGTGTATGTATGTGTGTAAATAAATCTGTGTGTATAGATATTTATCAATTCTTCATGTTTAGCTCAAAAACACTGAAAGTGCAGCATAGTTATTCGAACAATTTACAGCATGACAAAGAATCCGTGAGATTAAATGTCTGTACTTGTGGTGGTAGATGTCTGGGTCTCGGCTGACGCGGTTCTGAAAGCCGATGTACAGGTCGTCCCACAGACAGCCGTGCAGCACCACGTACCTCATCACTCCAATCCTGTTTTTAATCTTAGATGAAACGAAGCAGCATGAGCATAACAGCATGTAAATAAAGTATCCAGGCAGAACAGGAGTTTTTCAGATGTTAGATGGCAGACGTGATCATTTCCTCACGATTCGCTGGGAGTCAGGAGGAAATCACTATTATTCACATCCTGTTATCTGTTTGTTTAGGGACTCACCTCCAAGTAGGCGTGCTCTCTGTCAGGTCTCTTTGTGGGGAACGATAGATCCAGAAAGTCCACCAGATAGTCATAACCGTCAGTGATGCATTCAAACTCGTCGTCTGTTTCAATGACCTACACGGAGACACACTCTGAGTGAGACAGCAATGCAAAAGAAAAACGAGTGAGAGAAGGAGATCGTTAACAGCTAGAAGGAAGCGAGGTGGTGATGAGGGATCAGAGCAGAGAGCGAGTTGTTTGTTTTTAGATTTCATCATTGCAGGATGTTACCTGCACGCGTATTATCAGCTTCTGCTCAGGTACTACAGAGGCTGCTGTAGCATGAGGGAAAGGGATTATCAAAAAACATATAAAATAAAATTTCTGCTCAGGTGTAAAAAAAACACGTATTTATTGCTTTAAAACACTGGAAGCCCGTCTCTATCATAGCATAGTTACAAGGAAGCTTAGCCTGAAAACGTCTCAGTTCTTTTGATTTTTGTTGAACTTCTACATTTTTCATTGGGTTTTATGGTTTACAAGGTTAACGGAAAGTAAAACGATGCACACATCACTACTATGTGCATGAAAAAAAAAGATTTCATTCATAATCACACTGCTCACTGCTTGGTGGACAAGTTCAGTACGGAAGATCTTTAGTCATACATCTGTCTGCTTCCCAGGTTTTTGGGGCTAATCTCAGCTTCACGTCACTGTCACAGCCTGATTGTGACATCACTGGTCTAGTCCAATCGTCTTTTTTAAGGCCAATCATCCTCCAATCCGCGTACTTTAAATCTCATCTGTTATTTCCCTTGCAGTCGCCTTCATGCAACCCACCTCCTCCCCATCTCAGCCTCTCCCATATTACTCAAGCTCCATCCAAACCTCCACCCAGACTCCCGGGGTGGTCCTGCCCTAATCCCCGTCACTGCTGGGATTACGTTCTGCTGCGATGGGCCCTCAGACTATGATGGCAAAATATCTTAATTGAATTCTGTACATTGATGAATCATGCTCAGTTCTTTCTAATGATCTCTCCTTATTGAACATCCATCTTATTGTCCAGCTCTTGTTGGCTTTCACGGGCCAGGAGGCAGGGCACATTCTGAGCGGGTTGTCGGTCCAATCTCAAGGTCACGACGCACAATAGTTTTTATTTTGTTTTTTCTTAATGCTTTCCCCCAACCATATTAAAAAATGGACAAAGTAAATATTTTTACAGTCCTTTTTTGCAGGCTCGTGTGTTTTATTTGGTTTCTGGAAGCAGTAAGCAGAGAAATGCTTTTAGGTAGGAAAAATCACGAGAACACAGTAAATGCAGACAAAGGTCAGATGTTGAGTGCAGAACAGTTCTTGACAAAAAAAAGAGAGTCAAACAGCTCTGCAGGAGAACATTTACCCGCACAACAAGGTTGTAGTTTTGAAAGCCAGCCCACGTGTAATAAAACTGGATCCAGCTCTGATGTTTAAATATGTCCGACTTGATGGCACCGTTCAGCTCGTTCACATACAAGTCGAACTCCCAGCTGTCCTTGTAGAGTTTTGCACTGGCTGGTGGATTGATGATGGCCTCACTATGTAAAGAGAGTATTTCATTTAGCACCTGGGTGTTATTTACATGATCATTTTAGTTTTTTACAAGTTGTCTTGTGCTGTTTGTAGTGATAACAGTTGAAACAAAGTAATGACATGATGTCAGCAGATAACATGGACATGCAGTCAGATCAGATGTTCTGATTGACATGAGCTAATTGAGCAGCTGTAGCTTGTTGTAACTCAGTAAGAATAAAAGTCATTTTATACAGTTACTGCACACATACAAACTATATAAAGATGAAAAAGACAGGCTGAAGCTACTGTCCAAAGCTTTTGAATTTTACATTGGCAGTGCAGACGGTGAGGATTTTTTCCCATCAGACTAATCTGTTTATTCACTGGCCTTTCAGCTACTGACATTACTGTTTAAGTGTCTGTGGTTATGTAGTTGTATTACACAGATGGAATAAGAGTCTCTTTCCCACAGTGGCAAAGAATGGCAAACACAGATAAACATGTGAGCTGTTCCAACCTGCTGGTGGGGTCTCTCAGAGCGAGGCCCAGGTCCAGCACAGCACCTGGCTGCGGTGTCCAAGTCTTGATTGCTGGTGCCAGCTTATTAATTAGTGCATTGAGGTCCTCTGCACTGTTTTTGATATTAGTATCCTTTATGTATCTACACCCAACACACAGTACAAACAGACAGAGAAGTAAAAGGACACATAAAGAATAAATTAGGTCTCATGTTTGTTTAAATGCTACATCTGTAACAGTCATTAGCAGTCCCGTCACTGTCCAAAGTTTGGGCCACGACTGTGTCGTACAACCCTGTTTGCAGAAGAGTTGGGATGCTGTGTATGATGTAAATAATACTAGAATCTCAAAATCATGTTAATCTTATCCTTATTTATTAACATCGCAAATGTATTGCATCAAACAGAGAATAAAACTTTAGTTTAAATGTTTTATGCTAACAACACGTTTCAAAAATGTTGGCGCAGTGGCAACAGGAGACTGGAAGAATGCTAAAACAATAAAACACCTGCTAGAACATTTTAAACGAATGATAAACTGAACTACTGTCAGTTAGAAACACAATTCAGTACAATAGGAGCAGCTCATGAAGGTGGAGTCGTGGTTGCAGAGATAGACTGTAGCTCATACAGATAAATAGGCACTAAATACAAAGAGGATCCCAGATATAGACTCTGTTTGATCAGTTATTGGATGGAGTTGCCCAGATGAACTACACATCAGCTTTGACCTTGGGATCTATCTGCATCAGATCAGCTACCTTTGTTGTGAGGATTCTTCCTGTCAGGGAACATAAAAGTCATTCCAACCCTTGTGTGCTTTATCGATGCATCTCTGGTGCTGTGCAAACCTTGTTACAAACTCTACCTGTCTGACGGATGAGCCTCCACAAAGTATCCAGCGAATGGGCAGTAGATCCTGGGCTGCAGGGACTTCGCCAGTGTAGCTTTGTAATTCAGCAGCTTCTTCCTCTCATTCTTGATAAACTCTGCCTTCCAGGAATCTGGAAACAAATCAACATTTGCTTCATCTCAGCAGTTTGGTGCACTTTGACACTGTTGATCACAACATGTGAGTTAAACAAGTCAGTTCCTACGTGGCTAAAAGAGCTACATGTGTCTGTCAAAAGACTGTAACTGAGACACTGCTGTGTGCGTGTGGAGCTAAACGCTAACTAAGCTAACCTAGCTCAGGCTCACCGCTGTATTTCCCTCCATAGAAGGTCATCGGGAATCCAGAAGCTCCTCCAGCGAAGTCGGTCATCATCACATCCACATGCTGTGGCAGCCTGCCGCCGTTTGGTCTGGTGCAGTCCACAGTGTTGAGGATCATGTGACCTGCAATCAAAACTGCGTTTTATATCCTAATCAGACTGATTTTCACAGCATCAGTAATAATATTATTTGAAATGACACCTTTGTAGTCAACAATGATGCAGGTGTCCATTTCAGGATGTACACCATCCATCAGGATCATGAACCTCAGGTGTTCATCAATCTGAGTGAGACAGGAAGAGCCATTTTACTTCATAATCATATTTCCCTCAAAATGAATTGAATCATTTTACAATTCAACATTTTCCAAACATGCTTATTGTAAATACTCTTGACCACATGATGGAGGTGTGACTTACATTTTGCCAAACACCAAAGGGAATGACTTTAATGTTGGTCAGCTTCACTTGGCTTTGCTTCAAATACCTGTCACAGCAGAAGAACAAACTCACTTTGTACCGGATTTATTTCCTCTGTAATTTATGGGGAAGATTGAGCTCCACGTCATTACTGACCAAAACACAGGCCTGGATGTGTCACCAACATATATGGGGACATCGGGCCTTCTTTCTGCCAAGACCTTCAGTGTGGGATAGCTACAAAGCAAACAACACGTCAGCACGCCACCGTGTCAACATGAACAGTATCCAAGGCTAAAAGTTAAACTCTTTGTAGATTCTGAAGTTTCTAACCAGAAAGAAACTTTTATTTAATATTCCAAAAACTGCTTTTGTTTCTTTTCTAGTCAGAAGTGACATTTACAGTGACTGTGTGGAGTCGTGAGCCACTCCTCTTTCTTCATATGGCTCTTCACAGAATGAGCTTGTTGTTAATTACAAACAATTACAGGAATACAAATCCTGTAATGTTAAAGGTTTGTTATCCTACAAAGTGGAACAAACTGGAAATGTATTTTTGAATCTCAGTGACAGTTGTAATTATATTCTATACTTTTCAATAGAACTATTTGCATGATTATTTGTCTTTGCTAATAATATTCTGTTACGTGCACAGTCACTTCTAAGGTTTTACATATCACAACATCATAAAGGAAGTAATCTGGTCTTGGTTTTATTATATATTTCTCCATCCTGAGTCGTTATTACAGTCCTGTATATGTGGAGTCCTTTTACAGCCTTTACTCTAAGAACATTTCCCCTCCCTTTGCCATGATGGTATACAGTGTGTGCTCCTGTCCAGATGAACCGAACAGCTGGAGCAGTTTGTAGATACCATACTGTGTTTTCTCTGAATTGTTTAGTTGCTTCAAATAAAATCAGCAGCAATATTTATTTGTATGTATATTTAGCAGCATTGGCAGAGCTTGCCTGAGGTGGTCTGAGTGCATATGGCTGATGTAGATGAGATCTGCACCACAAAGCCTGTCCAGAGCATCTGCTGGAGGCTCATGGAGAAGCCACCACCCTCTGGCAAACGCGGGACCCTTTAACCAGGGGTCGAACATGAACCTTCTCTCACCAAGCTGTAGCTCCATGCAGGCGTGGGTTAGGTAAGTCACCTGAGAGGAAGGTCAAATAAAATGTCATCTTTGGAGACAGCTGATGCACTTTTCACTCTTCGTTCATTCACGATTGACAACATTTGAGATGATGATTATTATTACTACTTAGATCATTCAAGTTTTAGATCATTTTGCCAAACAGTTTCATAAGAGTAGCACAGTAGTATGCACAGTGTTGTCTGAAAAACTGGGGTTAAATATTTGTTATCTAAAGCGTAACATCAACGTACTTTGACTTCTCCCTCCTGGAGCTCCAGAGGCTCTCGAGGATCAGCCATCCAGGGGTCAACAGGGCTCAGCTCCACCAACTGCAGCCCCCCATCATCCAACACTTCGACCTCTGCGAGTGCAACAACAAGCTCAGGTGTTGACCTCACATGGCATTTATATTATTATCATTCTGTTACTCTCGATGCTTTAAATAGAGCTATTCATACTACTACTACCCATAGTAGTATTTAATACAAGCTTCACTGTAGCACCTTTTCCATGTTTCTTATTACTGAGTTACATCATTTAAGTAAGTTACTATTTTATATGATTCAATTAAACAACACGAGGTTTTACTATTAATCCATCCATCCATTCGCTTCTGCTTATCCTTTTCAGGGTCGCGGGGGGCGCTGGAGCCTATCCCAGCTGTCATAGGGAGAGAGGCGGGGTCCACCCTGGACAGGTCGCCAGTCTGTCGCAGGGCTAACACACAGGGACAGACAACCATTCACACTCACATTCACACCTAGTGACAATTTGGATTAATCAATTAACCTATCCCCACAAGCTGCATGTCTTTGGACGGTGGGAGGAAGCCGGAGTACCCGGAGAGAACCCACGCAAACACGGGGAGAACATGCAAACTCCACACAGAAAGACCCCGGCCTGATGGTGGAATTGAACTCAGGACCTTCTTGCTGTGCGGCAACAGTGCTAACCACCGTGCCACCGTGCTGCCCTTTTACTATTAATATTATTATTAATTATATTCTGCTTTATCTTCAAACTGGATCGTTTGTCTTGACAGTGTGTTCACTGCACCACTGTGCTACAAATAAGTGAAGCAGACAAATCTGTGCTGTACCGTGTGCACATGACGTTAGGAGCTGTTTAAGAACAGGTCCTCTGTGAGAGATTTATGAGATCGACTGCAGAGAAGAGAGCTGCTCTGCAGGTGGTTAACACTGTGATGATGACGATGGGCAGATTGGATGATAGTGTATGTGCTGTGAGGAAGAGAGCACTGCTGACTCAGAGACTCCAAACCTGAGAGGAAGATTTCTGTTATCAATAAATGATGAAACTGAACTGTTTGATTCATTTTTTACCAAGTTTGAGAAAGGTGAGAGCAAACCAAACTTTGATTATATTAAACATTCATAAGCAGGTTTGTGTGAGAGAGCAGGAGTGTGGGTGAACCCATGGTCGTGTCCAAATTCATGGGCTGCTTCCTCCTGAGGCCGCATTTGTAGACCGATTACGTCACAGCGACGCGCCGAAGGCTGTCCAAATTCGTAGACTCCTCCGAATGCAGCCGACAAATGCGTCCTCCTTTTCCCCGAATTTGAAGGATGGGTCGGGTGTGTCCTTCGTGGCCCACCATATCCCAGAATTCATAGCGCGGCCCAGCCAAACTCCAGTTTTCAACAATGGCGGCCGCTACTAAGTTTTAAAATTACTCTTACTAATCTTTCTGGGTCACAAAATAAACTTTTAGCATATTTTCAGGTGAGAAAGTAGCTGTGTAAACATCAAATATCTGCTCGGTTTATCAAGATATCGCATATTTGCAAAAGTGCTTTGACGTTTTCGGTGACGTCTGCTACCCACCAGCTCGACAGCTGACCGGCCCAGAATTCATTGCACAGAACTTCATTCACGTAATGATGGCGGCACAAAAAGAAAAACCGGGAGACGAATACACTTTTAAAAGTAAGTATATGAAAATCTGGTGGTACAAAAGTTACATTTTTATAGCGGTTATGTTGTTAGGGTTGTGAATTTGCATAGACTTGTAATATTTATTTAAACAATCTTCATAAAAGTGTCCGTAAACTAGCTTGTATGGTGGGTCCCGCGGTTTTTCATTGCCGCTTACATTTTTCCCAATCCACTTTTTTGTGATATGTTTATAGGCACCAAAGAGCAAACGGCAGACTTCATTAAAACTAGAGGAGAAAACGATCACCTCTTCACTGGGGTAAAAAATTCAGCGACTGTGGGATGGAGGCACACGAATAAATCAATTTACACATCATATTCATCTGAGTACGGTTTCAACAACCCTCATTCTGTACAGAACCTGCGATGTCCAGACGATATTCCTCTTGTGTTCTGCTGTGAAAACTTTTGGATTTAGGGATTATCAGTTGTCATGGTTTTCTCTCTTCTCTTATTTTTTTGTGTGCGATCAGGACTATTCTCGAGAAGATGGGCCTGCAAGGGAAAGTCACCCCCTTGCAGGCCAAAAAGAAGTGGGACAACTTAAAGAAAAGATACAAAGAATGTGTGCTGTCAAGAAGATAATTTAAGAATGAAATTTAATAAATGCACATTTACTAAAAGTTGTATTGTTTATATTTGTCTGTCATTTCTAATTTCCTCTGCCTTTAGGATTGCAAGTGTCCAGGGTCAGGTGAGGGAGTCAGTGCGAAGCCCACTGCTGCTGCTTGGCCCTGGTTTGGCCTCATGGATGAGGTGATGGGACAGAGGCCTTCCATTAGGCCGCCTGTCCTCATTTCCTCTCTCCCTGAGGACACTCCAGGGCCAAGTACAGCAGTGGGTGACCAAAGCACACCATTGTTTTTCTTGTGACATTACCAATAAGTGTGATGTGTCACATGACCCTCTTCCTATTGGAAAAACAAAAGTTGTATCCAAGATGGCCGACTTCTAAATGGCCACCATGGTCACCGCCCATCTGGGGGAGTTTGCCCCCTCACATATACTAATGTGCCACAAACAGGACTTTAATATCACCAACCATTCCCATGTTATTACGATGTATCCATATAAATGGCCCACCCTGTACTTTACAGCAATTTATGCCGACTGTTGAATTCCTGGAAACCTGCACAGAAACGATAACTGCGCTGCTGGCTAATGTTTAACTGGGATTTAAAAGATATATATATATTGTTTACTCAACCGCCACACTCTTAGATAATGCAAGTAAATGGAAGAGAGATACCTTTTTACACAGATTAATCAGAACAAGTGCAGTCACACAGCGATGTTGCCGAGTGCTGAGATGCATAGTGCTGGGCTAAGAGAGCTGTCCCTCTTAACAACTGGTTATATTTACTATTCTTTGAGGGGAAAAATGACCCTGCAGAGAAGAAAATTAGATTATCAAGTTTACACTCCACTCATGTGAAGCATGGAAAAATGTCTGTTGGAAAGAATTAGTTTGACATTGCTTCACAGTTATTGGCACAAATTGTCAAATTATTCATTAGAAGGGGCCCTCTGCCAATTTAGCATTAAAATTTAAAAAAGCACAGAAAGTAGTTGCTATTCTGACTGTTAGCGCCGACTGTGGCAAGAGCTATAGTTACAAGCTAACCACACATCCCATAATGCAGCTTTGTAGTTTGCATATTTAGATTTCAGATCCACATTGCAGGAAGTGGCATATCAATATACAGGAAATGGCACTTACCGAGCTCATCCTGCAAGAAGCTGTCGGGCGGGTTCACATATTTCATTGTTGACACGTTTAATTTCCAGTTGTGTTTGGTGCATTTTACAGTCCTGAGGGAACAGAGAGTTCTGTCAGCTATAATCAAACGTCGACCACAGATAATCTCTGAAATCTGTTCCTGTTCTTACATTGCATCCAGGTCTTCAACGTCTTTGACGAACAGCCCACCTTGATGCTTGCACTGGTTTTTGCATGCTTTCAAGTCATTGTTGCTCTTAAATATGATGTAACATTTGCCGTCCTCTGGGCTTTTCTTGAAATTGACTCCTTCTTTGAGCGAGCCGACTGCTTCAGCATCCAATGACAACAACACCTTTGCTATTTGAGAGGCCATTGCACCTAAATGTTAAAAATCAAAAAGAAGAGTTTTAACTCACAGTATTTGATGCAAGCACAAAGGATCTTACAATAGCTTTGATTCAAATGACAGACTTCAGACACTGAAAAGGACGTTGCATTAATCCTTACATGCTGTTGGGGTCAAACTTGATAATTAAGTACAAGTAAAAAAGCCCAAATGTCATTATTCAGCCCAGATTTGATTACTTTTCCTAAAGTGACTCAAAAGCTGTACTCATGTGTAGCAGTAGTGTGGAGTAGTCTGCAAGTTTTGTACAGTGAGGCTGTTGGAGGACCAAGTTAACCTACATTTCTATTGAGATGGATTTTTAATCCACCCGTGAGGGTCAAATCAATGAAAATGGGTTGCTCGTATTACTCTGGTTGCTCATATTACTCTGGTTGCTCGTATTACTCTGGTTGCTCGTATTAACTGACTAGTTATTTGTTTGTGAGTTTTCACAGTTTCAAAGGTGTCGTCCAAACTGACCTGGTTTCTGGTAATGTTAACCTTTACCTGACCTTCAGCTGCTTCTTTATGGCAACTACATCTTTATGACACACTCCCATAAACTATATGAGATAGCTAATGGCACTGGCATAACTTCAGGAGGTAAAGAACAATGTACACATGGAGGACAAAAGTCTGGTTTACAATATGAGCTCAGGTCGAAATTCTTCAAATGAATGTAAACATTTATAAATCCCTTTATGCACATTGCTCAACAAATACATCTCATACTCTACTTCAGTTCAGTTATCTGCATTGAGAATTTTCTCTATCACCAACATTAGTCCCTTTGTTTTTCTACGGACACTCAAATTTCTCCTTATCAATAGGAATAAAACTTTAACAGTTAAAAAGAAAGAAAGAATGAACCCATATTTCAACCAATTTGGGAGCGAAGCTGAAAAACACTTTAATATATGATTCATTTGGTTTTGTATACAGTATGGTTGTTCAAGGAATGTCAACAGAAATAATTCGGTTCAATTTATACAGCAAATCACAACAACAGTCAGTTCAGGGCGCTTTATATTGTAAGGCAGACCCTACAATAATACATACAGAGAAAAACCCAGCAATCATATTCAGGGTCACCTGGTCCAGCCCTAACTATATGCTTTAGCAAAAAGGAAAGTTTGAAGACCTGCAGAGCGAGAGCGAAGTGCTCTAATAGGGTGATATGGTACTACAAGGTCATTAAGATAAGATGGGCCTGATTATTTAAGAGCTTGGGGGAGTTTTTCCTTCCTACTGTTGCCAAACTGCTTGCTCATAGGGGGTCATATGATTGTCGAGTTTTCTCTGTATGTGTTATTTTAGGGTCTACTTTACAATATAAAGCACCTTGAGGCAACTTTTGTTGTGATTAAATAAAATTTAAAAACATTTAAAAGCCTGCATATTCGGGGGACAGTCCCTTGATCTCTTACATTTATACTTTTTATAATTTCTAATTCAGTGCCTACTTTTCCTGTTATTTGGTACTCTGTGTTCCTGTACCCTTCATACACACTTTTGATCAAAACATCTCTGTCTATCTTTAACAATCAATCCTTCCTTTATGGTGCTACACTTTGATTCTGTCTCGTTTGCTACACTTGTCTTTATCCCTGTATGGCGTGAGTGGTTATATACAGAGTCGTGACGTACAACAAGTTCATCACCTAGTTCTGCTTTTTGTCTATAATTACCAAAATGTGTTGGACGGCAGACAGTGCTACGTTTTGCACTCTACCATAATGCTGCTGCACCTTTTCCTGTAATGCTGTTTTGTGAAAACTATTTGCTCCTGCAGTTACACCGAGGCCTGCTAGCAGTACAGTACCATCTACAGTTCCACAGGCAACCTAGAGATGAAGAACGATATAAGAATGGTAAATAGCCTGTATTTGTATAGCGCTTTACTCAGTCACTATGGACCCCAAAGCGCTTTACACTACATTCAGTCATTCACCCATCCACACACACATTCACACACTGGTGATGGCAGCTACGTTGTAGCCACAGCTGCCCTGGGGCGCACTGACAGAGGCTGAAAGAAATAAAGGACAGAAGAGGAAGATATTATTTTCAAAGATAAGACTGCTCAGCAAGTCACACTTTGTGAACATTAAATCTTATTTGTCACATCCTAATAATCTGTTTTTAAATCAGGTATTTCATATACACATGATCTGTTGCTGGATTAAGCTTTTGTGGAGCAAAACTACAAAACTGAAGTATACTTCAGCTGGTTTTGTGCTATTATTTATTTATTTTTAATTGACATTAGGAATCACTGTACAATACCACCAACTTCAACAATTTGTCACTACATGTATTTTTCTTTTTTCTGTATTTAACCAACTAAAATATCCATACAAAAGGATGAAAGAATAAAAAAAAAGGAAAGAAAATAGAAATAAGCAAAGCAGAAAAATAAAAAAAATACAAAGGAAAAAAAGGCGTGTAGGGAGTGTGTTTTTGTTTCCATTAATATAACTAATATTTCCTCTAGTCTTCTCGTAGTTAACACCGTCAAAATCATGCTATTAAAAGGTTGCATGAAAATGTGTACTAAGCAGTTTAGTGCTAAACCAGCTAGTTTGCAGTATTGCCGTTTAGTTTACAGTGATGCACAGTGTTGGACTGTTGCAGGGCAGGCTGAAAGTGACGATGCTGATTCACTCATCTTTATCAGTTTTTAGTTCAGTTTAGAGCTGGGCGATAGAACGATAACGATATGTATCGCGATATAACTTTTACTCGATAGAGAAATTAAGCTATCGCGATAGAGCTCGCAGCTCTTGTCCTCAAAAAAAAAAAAAAAAATTAAAAATTAAAAAAAAAAAAAAAAAAGGTCAGCCAATCCAAATTAAGTAGCGCAGAGCCGAACCAATCACAGCCGCAGCGTCACGTCGCGTGACTTGTTACGTACAGCACAAGTGCCAAGCCGCACGTGTGTTTGTTTGGGAAGCAGCCAGCGGGTAATGGAGGAAATGAGTGTGCCGACTAGAAAAATCAACCAAGCGTGACCGAAGAGAAAACAGATGATGGTTCCAACGCCGGAGAGATTGTCGAACGGAAGAGCCATAGAAGTTCCGTAGTGTGAAGGTATTTCTGCTATTTCAAGTCTGACAAAAAACAGAGTAGCGTGCACTGTAAATTGTGCCGACAGCAAGTCTGGAAATACAATAAACTGGTGCATGCGTCACACTGTGCGCCACGTTATTGTTTCGGTGAAATGAATTTCTACAATACTGTTAATTCTACTCTCTGCAGTGTTTAAATGCTTACATATACACACAGTTACTGTCCCTCCACACATACGACTCGGTTCTGCTTCTATGCCCCAGCTTTGTTTACTTTTTCCCACCGAGGCTTCTAGACTTCTGATTGGCCAATATTTCTGCACGGTTAGGAATCTAGCGCCACCTGCTGCTTTGGCATGTTCATAGCAGCGTTTTCCTTCATTTCTGCCTTTATGTGTGGACGGGATTATTTTTTAAAACGAAAACGGAAAATCTCCGTTTTCAAAAATACCCGTGTACGTGTGGACGTAGCCTCAGTCTCTGACTGGAAGCGCTAATTCGTCATTCGGCTTTTGTCAGACTAAAGTAACTGTTACAACTGTTTGAAAAGCTCAGCTATACAACAAGGAGAGATTGAGAATTTCCTTTTAGTTCTCAGTTTATTTGATACTGACAAAAGTTAGTTTGTTTTACAGAAGAACAGACAAAACTAAGATTTATTTTTAGAATTAATATTTTGTTTCTAAGTGGAATTGACAATTTAGTCTGTTTTGTTTGTTCTATTTTGAAACTTAAACGCTTTAGCGGCTGCCTTTTGTGTAGTTTGCAATATTTGCCTTTATTTATCTGAAAAAGTCTCATGTTCCTTAAGTACATCTACCCTGTTGAACTTATTATGGGAAATAAATATTTAAAAACAAGCTGCTGATTATTTCACATTTTACTTGTGAGCACATTTAAATCTTACAAATATCGTGATAGATATCGTTATCGCCTGAAATGAAAAAAAACATATCGTGATATGAAAAAATCTCATATCGCCCAGCTCTAGTTCAGTTTCATTTATGTACCACCAAGTCACAGAAACAGAGGCCTCGAGGAACTTTATATTGCAAGGTTAGACCCCAGCTTTGTTTTACTAGCTTCATATTCTGTAGTAGATCTAAATCTGTTATACAGCTCTGAATTCATTTTGGCTAGATCCACAAATAACAGTGAATATTGAAAAAGCAGTGTGCATCAGCTGATCGTTGGCTTAACAAACAAACGATTATGTTCCTTAACTCTAAGCCCTGCTTTTCCCCACACTGCACAACGACATCCATAAGGTTACCTCACCTGAACTCTGGTATAGTTTTAATCCTGAACTGCACCGTGTGATGGAAAGTTTCAGGATTCTGACCTTCTCTGTTGAGTTGATATGACTGAACATAAGGATCGTGTTTTGTCAGTTATACTGATGTGCTTCAGCTGCACAGTGTACTAAGGCAAAGCTACACAGAAACCCTGCGTGAAGATGACGCTGAGTGCATGCTGACCACAGCACCGGCAGTCAGAACAGTCAGAAGAAAATTCAGAGATGAGTCAGACTCTAATTCTTCACGTTTCCGCCTGGAACCACTGTGGTGATAACGTTGAAATGTCTTTGTGCTGCTTGTTATCTTTGCGACATGTTGTCAGCTTTATGTTCATACATAAAAACTAGCAAAAAGACTGTTTGTGTTTCTTTATTAGGATAGAGATTTGTGTTGGAACTACATCTGTGTTATTTCAGATATCCATAACATTCTTCCCCCAAATTACTGGATATTAATAAATTATGCTTAAGGTATTAAAATGTGGTATCAACGGTTCCTGAACAAGTGTCAATATGGAGCGGATGTCAAAGGTCACTTGTGGTAAACAGTTTATTGATACAGTGTGAGCTCTGTCTCTCATACATGTGTGGATGACTGCATCAATGTGCAGACAAACACTGGGTCTTATTACACCGTTATCTTAATGACACACTCCCATAAAATATATGACAATCCCATGTTTGTAAAAGCTAAAGAAATATGTACCCATAGACAGACAGAGTGATTAACATGAACGTCGAGACCAAAAGGAATCCGTGCAAAACACAAGCTAACCAAAACTTATGAATGCAACTGAAAAGAGGCTCTAAAATTATTAAACAAAAAAATGACCAAAACTCAAATAAATTTCAAAACCCAACGGCACAATCAACAAATAACTCAAATAGCACACTGTTACTAAATGAAGACCAATGATACCATCCATCCATCCATCCGCTTCTGCTTCTCCTTTTCAGGGTCGCGGGGGGCGCTGGAGCCTATCCCAGCTGTCATAGGAGGTGGGGGGTACACCATGGACAGGTCGCCAGTCTGTCGCAGGGCCAACACACAGGGACAGACAACCATTCGCACTCACATTCAATCGCACATTTACACCTAGTGGCAATTTGGATTATCCGATTAACCTATCCCCACCAATGATGCCAAGCACATAAGAACATCTACATAACATGGCTGCAGAGAAGAGAAGTGTTGCAGAGGGCCGATCGAAGTTCTGCACTATAAACTATCCGTGTTCACCACAGTCAGGAGAGCCAGAGCCACAAATTCAAGCCGCCAATCAAGCTAAAGCTAAATTATAATTAACAGCAGAATATTCTCGGCTCTTAATGAATCACTTTTTTTGATGAATCTGTTTATTCACACCTTAAGGATGTTTCAAAACATTTGTAAAACTGCACAAATAACACTTTGTGGAGTGTAGATGTTAAAACTAGCAGCAGACTGAATACCTGAGTTTTATTTGTCTACTTAATTTTAGAGTAAGTGGTAGAAATGAATGCTGTACATACATCCCCCTGCATGACGGCACATGAACACATCAGCTCCATCAGGTGCTGCAGCTTGTTAAAGTCCCTCTCAGAGCATTTTAACATCAGTCAGACTTTTATTCAACTCACCGTCAAAGACGCTGTTTTCAAAGAGATGCTTCTCACGAACCTTAGAACGAAGTTGCTTCGGTCAAACTCCACCACACACGGAGATATACAGTCACCCCCCCTCCCCTTGCAAACGCCTTCGACACTTATTCCCTCCCGATGCAGACGGTGGGTCAAAGGGCACCAGCGCATATGCTGCAGGCCCGGATGAGCTGTCTACACTGGCTGTCTCTCACCGTTTACCCGTCCCTGTTGCTTGTCATGTGTTTCTATGGTGTGTTACGACTGTTGTCGTAATTATATGTAAATTTGAGCGTGCAGGTGCTCCTCCGTGATTTCTGAATCCAGTGACGGTACGTCCACTGACGATCTGCGCCTCACGCTCCGCATAAGAGAGGTGGAGACCCGCAACAGGGAGCTGGAAGTGCAAGCTATGCATCTCCGTATCAGAGCTCTTGAGCTTGAAAAGGGCTCAGCTAATGGTTCCCCAACGTCATCAAGCACAAGCGCTTCTTCTTCTGCTGGTTTTGACATAAGTAAGCACATCAAGTTGGTTCCCCCGTTTCGAGTCTGAGGTAGACTCCTCTTTAGTGCATTCGAGCGCATAGCCGCTGCTTTGAAGTGGCCGAAAGAGTTTTGGGCCCTCTTACTCCAATGTAAGCTTGTGGGAAAAGCCCAAGAAGTGTGTTCAAGCCTGTCTGTTGAGCAGAGTTTAGATTATGAAACTCTTAAGAAAACTGTGCTGCAGGCGTATGAACCTGTCCCTGAAGCATATCGGCAGAAATTTAGGAATCTTAATAAAACTGCTAACCAGACTTTTGAGTTTGCGCGAGAAAAGAATGTGTTGTTTGAGAAAAGGTGTTGTTCATCTAAAGTTAAAGCCGTTGAAAACTCTTATTTTGCTGGAGGAGTTTAAAAAGTGTTTGCCGGAACGCATCGTGACTTGTTTAAACGAACAAAAGGTGTCGTCTCTCACTAACGCGGCTCTCCTGGCTGACGAGTTTGTTTTAACGCACAAAAGTGTTTTCTGTGCACAGAATTCGTTTCAGGAAAATTTCTCTGAACGAAAAAAGTCACCAGGAGCAGTGCGTAAAAATGTATCAGCGTTTATTGCCAAATCAAACGGTCGAGAATGTTTTTATTGTCACGACTCAGGACATTTGATTGCTGCGTGTCCAGTATTAAAAAGAAAAGAAGCGAGGGGCACTGAATCTCCTGCAGGCGTGGGTTTGATTAAAACCACTTGCTCGCCAAAGGTGCGCATGGAGGCTGAACAAAACCCGAAAACTGACATTGATCCGTAGTTTCTACCATTTGTATCATGCGGCTTTGTTTCGTTGACGGGTGAAGAAAATGATAAAGTGCCAGTCACGATTCTTAGAGATACGGGTGCGTACCACTCGTTTTTACTAGAGTCTGTGCTGCCTTTGTCTGAAAAAACATCCTGTGGTTCCGACATACTAGTGTGGGGAATAAAGATGAGTGTCACCAAAGCCCCTCTGCATATGGTACACCTGCATTTGCTGTTAGTGTCGGGCTATGTTAAAGTCGCCGTGCGCCAGCGATTACCAATCGAAGGCGTTTCCTTCATTCTTGGTAATGATCTAGCTGGTGGGCATGTTTTTCCCCCGCCAGAAGTTGTTGATGTTCCTGCCTTTGCTGCTGATTCACACTGGAAGTCCCAGGCCTTTCTAACCCTCTGTCAGCCAAGTGGAAGCTAAATTGGCTAGTCTTTTAGCATCAATTCATATGTAAATTAGGTCGTTACCTGAGAAGTGGGGGAGTGGGGCATCTCTTCTGTTCTGGGTCAATCTGACCCGCAACATAACAGGAGGGTTAATCTTGAATTTGTTTTCAGTTTCCTCATTTGTTCTAATAACACACAATGCTTATGCTGTGATTGGCTGTCCTGTCTGAATGGAGGATCATGATAGCATCTTGTTTTGGCTCAGTATAATCTGTGAATACAAATATCATTGACAGCACACGTTACCTGTGTACAGGTTCTGTTTTAGTTCTGTGACCATGGCAGGTGCATAAGGCTCTGGGTTATCCATGCATTAAAAAAATGCATCATCGCTCTGTTGCTTTAATCAGTCACATCTTTCCATGACAGGGACAGGGTTGATGCACATACACAATCTATAAATGACTCTGCTTGTTTCTGTTCTCTGTTAGAAGCCGTGCAGACTGCTGCACTGGATTGTTGTTTCTTTGATGCAATCAAACTGAAACCTGACAAAGGTACTGTCACAGCTGCCGAGGTGAGCCGTGTGGCGTAGAAGGGAGAAAGTAGTGATGTGACGTTCTGTATCGAGGCTTCGAAGCGTGTGTCGAGTAATGGAGGGGGCGTTTCCACGATGCGCGTATCGAGGCTTGTTTCATTTATGGGAGGAGCTGAAAATGATGACGTCCGAAGCCTCGCTGCCCGGCTGTACCACGTGACTGGTTCATGAAGTGGTTCGAACTTTGCCGCGAGATATGACAGCGATATAAACCCCTCAGACTTCATTCAAAATGTGGGTGTTTGATGGAGAGTTGCGGTTAGAGAGAGTTTGGAGACCGTTTGGAGGTTTATGAGAGTGAGGAGAGAAAGTCAGGAGAGAATGGAGCCAGCTAAGAAGAGGAGGATGTCCTCCCCTGTGTGGGAACATTTTGATCTTATTCCTCCCAACAAGGTATGTAAATTTCTACAGAAGATGTATTGTCATGATACTGATGGTGCAATACAATTTATGTTGAGCTGTCTTGACTTTTGTACAAGGTGAAGTGTTTGCTATGTGCCAGGGAGCTGGGATATAACAACAACATCCATGCTTAGGCACTACAGAGCTTTGCATGAGAATAAGAGGAACACCGATTGTGGAGCAAGACCAGGTGAGCCATCAAATGCAATGATAATATAGCATGCAGTAATGTTACTAAATGATATAACAATATTATACAGCTGTAATAAGTTACGTGTGTGATATTTATATTTGTGCTTTGTCTTTATTGTCTTTCCTCAGGAGAACAATCTCAAATAGATGAAGACCTGGTCAGCATGGTGATTGAGGACTCCCAGCTATTTAGCATTGTGGAGGACAAAGGATTCAAAAGATGTGTTAAATCATTAAATCCTAGCTATGTTCTCCCCACTAAAAAGGTCATAAAAGCAGTGAAAATGTAGTTTTTACAGAATAAAATGTGAACAGGCAGGACTGAGGCTCAAAGCCTCAGTGTGTAGCTGTCCATACCTCAACCACACCTCACCTCACAGTAAATGATCATTTCCATTTCAAGCATTTCCAAATAATCATTTCCCATACTGCCACTATAAATATACACAGTATACTGCCATCACTACAATATACATGTTTTACACACTCCTTTTGTTGTTGACATTTACAGGCTGTGTGCAAAAGGCCACACTCTTCAAATTCATGCCAACTATTATTTTTACGTCCAGTAGGTGTCCTACTAGAGCAAATGAAGCTTCAAGATGCTTTGCACTGGGCGGAACCAATTGGATGAAAAGCTTCAGTGCTTCATGAAGCTTCATCTGCCCATCACTAGGAGAAAGGACCCAAAACGCAGGCAGTAGATGATAATGCTAGTGATGTTTTATTTACACAGTGGTGAGATGGCAAAACAGGTAAAGAGGGAAGACAAACCTAAATGACAAACCTGAGAGGGTACCAGAATGGGGCGAGGCAGCGCACGAGGGACAGGACACCGTGGAACACAGACAAACCAACAACAGGCAGGCGAACACACAGGGCTTAAATACACACAGCAGCAATCAGGGGATGAGCAACAGGAGGGCAACACACCTGGGAGAAATCAAAGCTGACGGGACAGAGGAAGCGTAATCTGAACACACTTACATGAGACAGAGACCTTCAGAATAAAACAGGAAACTCACAGACACAGAACTGGACAAGACGCTGAACTAAACAGACAGATTCACACACAGTGTGACACCATAGACAGAAGTGGCACCAGGACAGGCACAGAACAGAAACCTAACAAATGACGCTGAAAAACTAGTTCATACATTTATTACTTCCAGGCTGGACGACTGTGATTCATTATTATCAGGAAGTCCTAAAAACTCCCTGAAGAGGCTTCAGTGTAAAGAGTTTCAGTAAGTTTAAGAGTACTTTATGAGGATTTGTATCATAAGATGCTGTCAAATGTTTTTACAGTATTTTACTGTACAAAGTAAAAGGTTGTGGGAAAATGTATCGTCTCTTTTGTCACTGTTGTAAAGAATTTTGCAGCAGTGATGGGACCCAGGAAAAACTGACCAATAGCAACAGAAACTTCTTTCAAACTGCTTTTTTCCAATCCTTTGGTGGAACGAGCCGTAAAAAGAAAACTCAGCAGAAGGTCAGCATGTTCTTATTATGTTCGACAAAACAAAATGATTTCCCAGATATGTTTCCTTCTAAGCTGATTCTTTTTCGTCATTGGAATGTCATTCAGACTGGAGAAGTGCAGTCGGATAATAACAAAGAGAGGGAAGGTAGTCAGAACTGAGGGGATCGAGCTACCAGAAGGCAACATTGCAGACATAGAGGACAGCTACAAGTACCTGCAGAGGGTCAGGCAAGTCCTGAGAAGTCAGCTGAACGTTGAGAACAAGATCCAGGCTACGCCCTGCCCGTGATCAGGTACCCTGCTGGGATAATAAGCTGGCCAAAGGAGGAGATAGAAGCCACTGACTTCAAGACAAGGAAGCTCCTGACCATACATGAAGGGTTTCACCCCAATTCCAGCACCTGTACGCTAAGCGGAAGGAAGCCATAACCATAACATAAACTGTATATAAGCCTGCATAGTATACAGAAACATCTGTGCTGAATATGACCAGGAAGTCCCGAGGTCTAAATGATGTCCCCAAGGGTGGTGGAGAATGACCGAGCTAAGATCCTGTGGGACTTCCAGATACAGACGGACAAAATGGTGGTGGCTAACCAACATAGTGGTGGTAGACAAACAGAAGAAGACGGCCGTAGTGATCGATGTAGCGAATGACAGCAACATCAGGATAAAAACAAGTCTACTACAAAAATAAAATACAACACCTCGGCCAAGTATTACTCTGTGACTATCATGGCTGTTAATATCGCTTCATTTCATGTCTGAATTAAGACAAGAGCCATTGTTCACGTTTGCTGCTCATCTGTCTTCCTGTAGGGGGCAGTAATGCACTACGGTGCATTCTTCAGCCTCCACCCAAACCAGGAAAAAGAAGAAGAAAACGTCCGCTTCCGGGAGGCTTGTTTTGCAGAGCAGCGGGCTGAGTTTTGGACTCATGCAAGTTACCGAGAGTTTTCTCGTTGGCCTGACTGTGTGAGGTTACTGTTTCGCGTCTCTCTTAGCACTTAGCAGCGTTAGTTGCCTGCTACGCTGCTCCTTCCTTCCGCGGCTTTACGGAAAGATGGTTTTGTCAACATCACAACAAGTCGCTCTGGCTTTCACGGGCGTGCTCTTCATGTTTGTCGTGCTGCCGCGGTTGTACGGCTTTGGCAGCGGGACCGCGGCGAAGGACGCCAAACTGGACGCTCGTCACAGCAGAAAAGGTAGCAATATACAACTGGTTCTTGGGCACTCTGAGGTTCACTTTGCTCTAGTTATCGCGAGATTTGGCTTGATTTCCACATTTGCTTTGAGGTTCACGTTGTACTAGTTATCGTGAGGGGAAAAAGCGAGTATATTAAATTTTCCAGAGAAACTTAGTCATTACACATTCTCTGTGTGTTTCTACCTTATTTATGTTTAAGTGCGATCAGATCCACCCTCGGTCGGTTCAGCTTACACACATTATTCCTAATGAAATGACAGATTGGTGGAGATCTGTACACACATGTGAGTTTGTGTATTTATGTCTGTGACATCCTTCATCCGTGACGCCGTGGAGGCCATTAATGAATTATGTCCTTCCATCCCAAAATACACGTGCCTTTATTAGCCGCACACCTGCGTATTCATGCAGTTATTCATCATCATTGATGTGTTTCTACAGGACTGCAGAACTTTAGTTAACGTTCACTTGAAACATCAGAATGGGGCAAAAAGTGTGTCCTGAGAAATCCAGCTGGAAAATGGCTGAAGCCCTCATTTGTAGGAGGAGGACAAAAGAGTTACAGGGTTTGCAGTCCTGTAACTGCTAATGATGTCAGTGCATTGTGTGGACGTGTCATGCTGGAGGGTCAGGTGAAGAAGGCCTGTCACCTAGACCCAGAGCCCACCAGTCAGTGGGTAAAAATGTGCATTCCTCCACCAGCTGGTGAATGTTTGGTGGCAGTGAGAAAGTGACATTGGTTGCAAAGAAGCATGTGGAGCGGTCTCAGAAACCCAGTTAGGATTGCTTTGATCGCTGGCAGGTTGGTGAAGGGGGAACATGGCGACTGCAAAGTTGGCTAGCAGCGGTGAGACCATTTACCTTCAGAGTAAAAGTTACACCTTTTAAAATGTATTGGCCTCAGCTTTTACTTTGAAATCCAAGATTCCCCATTTCTGGTTTGTGCCGCTCTTTTTCTAATTTTACATCTGCTCGTTGGTCGTTAGCAAGAGTTTGCAGACAAGTTGGCATCTTCCATGTAAACTGTGGGCAACTGCAACAGTCTCCTAGCTACTAAAGCAAGGTCTTTGATGCAGGGCTGTCTTTGTAACTGACAACATTTGCTTACATACAAGTGATAGCGTGTAACATAAAGTGTCAACTCCCAGCTACCACACGGAGAGAGGCAGGGTACGGCCTGGACGGGTCGCCAGTCCGTCGCAGGGCTAACACACAGGCACATACAACCATTCCCACTCACATTCATTTAGAATTACCAGTTCACCCTCTATCAATTAAGGGTAATAAAGCCCGAACAACAAGACACCCTGGCAGGTCAAAGCCTCCAAAAAGGCAGCTACTTTACACACTAGAACTACCACAACAGCAGTAATGGCACATACATCGTCTTCTTGATGAAGCTCAGTTGTTCATTTTCATTGAATCCTTGTCATTACAGATTTTAAAGTTAAAATATGACAGAAGCCTAATAAACAAAGGGTATAACAAGTAACACAACAGCTAACAGATGCAAAACATGTCTTTGTTAAAGAAGACGACCATGATGAAGAGTTAAAAGTAGAGCTGGGCGATATAAGATTTTTTCATATCACGATATGTTTTTTTCATTTCAGGCGATAACGATATCCATCACGATATAAGCCAAATAACTATATTTGTAAGATTTAAATGTGCCGTTGCTCACAAGTAAAATGTGAAATAATCAGCAGCTTGTTTTGATTTAAATATTTATTTCCTATAATAAGTTCAACAGGGTAGATGTACTTAAGGAACATGAGACTTTTTCAGATAAATAAAGGCAAATATTGCAAACTACACAAAAGGCAGCCACTAAAGCGTTTAAGTTTCAAAATAGAACAAACAAAACAGACTAAACTGTCAATTCCACTTAGAAACAAAATATTAATTCTAAAAATAAATCTTAGTTTGTTTTACAGAAGAACAGACGAAACTGACTAACTTTTGTCAATATCAAATAAACTGAGAACTAAAAGGAAATTCTCGATCTCTCCTTGTTGTATAGCTGAGCTTTTCAAACAGTTGTAACAGTTACTTTAGTCTGACAAAAGCCGAATGACGAATCAGGTTGGGGACCGCTGGTCTAACCGATGCATGAAACGATACATTTTTAGACATAAGTTGTAACGGCGCCGTTTTCTTTGTGAGTATTTATTACACAGCGTGCTGCGGGGAAAAGCCTGTTCTAACGTTTGAGTCTAAGGTTTATTTTTTAGCACTTGGCGGCTCTTTTTTACTTCTCATCCGTAAATAATCTGCATCTTTCACGTGATTTCATTTATTTTGAAAAGTCTCAACAGGATCTTGAGCTTTATTGTGAAAGGTTTATGTGGAACATAAACAAGCGGACACACGATGGTTTTACCGTCGTTGTTGCTAACGACAACGCATAAAAACAGGCGCTTGTCTGTCTGTAGTGTGGTTATATTAAATATAAGAGAAAGAGAGAACTTTAAGAAATGAATATAACCACTACAGTGACATCAGAACCATGAAAAAATATAGCTGTAAACTAGAGCTGGGCGATATAACGATATGTATCGCGATATAACTTTTTCTCGATAGAAAAATTAAACTATCGCGATAGACCTCACCGCTCTTGTCCTCCTTAAAAAAAAAAAAAAAAAAGAACAGCCAATCCAAATTACGTAGCGCAGAGCCGAACCAATCACAGCCGCAGCGTCACGTGACTTGTTACGTACAGCACAAGTGCCAAGCCGCACATGTGTATTTGTTTGGGAAGCAGCCGGCCACCGTACCGCCCGGGTAATGGAGGAAATGAGTGCGCCGACTAGAAAAATCAACCGAGCGTGACCGAAGGTTACAGAGGAGAAAACAGATGATGGTTCCAATGCCGGAGAGATTGTCGAACGGAAGAGCCACAGAAGCTCCGTAGTGTGAAGGTATTTCGGCTATTTCAAGTAGGGCTGCTCGATTATGTCAAAAATGATAATCACGATTATTTTCACTGAAATTGAGATCTCGATTATTTGACGATATTTATTTAACCCTTTAAGACCTACTATAGAACCAAGTCCGCCAGAGCTTATATTATTTTTTTACATGTTGTAGTGCCGTTTGTGGGAGCATTTAAAGTTGCTATGCAACTGTTATAGCCCATATTTTAATAATATGTATGTATTAAGTCCATAGTAACGACATTAATTGCAAAAAAGTGCAATAAACTACAAAAAAATTGAAAATCGTTTTTGTTTTTTTTACATATATTTCTACTTGGAGAAATTTAAGAGGTTTATCCCTCAAAACTTTAAATACAAAAAAGTTGCAAAAAATAGTTTACAACAACAGGAAATTTATTTTGAGTGTCTTCATAGTTTTATTTTGGAGATACACCAATTTTTATATACTGCAGGAAAAACAAAAAAACAATCCTATGATGCAAATTTGCAAAGAAAACAGCAGGTGCATCAAAATAAACTATTTCCAGCAGTGAAGTTTGAGTTCTAAGCATCCCAGCAACTATTCAGAAAAGTCAAACATGACCAGTATAGGCTTTTAAGGCCTACAAGTACAAAAAACTACATTTCCGCGAAAATGACGTCACTTCCGGTTTCGGGCAGGAAATGGCGGACATGCGATAGTTTGCGCTGACGTCTGTTTCACTGTGGGAAGTGTTACGAACAGCTGATCGGATCGGCAAAGCGTGTTTCTGGAATATTATGTTTTTGTTGCTGCAAGCGCTTTTTATGCAGTTTTTGCAAAGCTATATGTGGAAGGAAACCGTGACTGAGGACAAGCTGATGGCATCAGATGTAAGTGCAACTCCTCCGGTTTCATATGCAAAACAAATTATTGCGCTAGCTTACACGGTTCAGGTTCTACAGGGATTTAAAAATAGTTACACAACACGGAGCATGCTGCTCTGACCGGCTTTAAAGGGTTAACAATGACTTTAAAAAATAATATAAAATAGTGTGCAACACCACTGAAGTTTTTTTACCTCTCTTTTCAACCAGCGGCAGTCACTCTCTCCTCTCCAAATAACTTCTGCTTAGCTTTCTGAGCTTCCCTCGGGTCCTCTTAATCAGCGGTCTCCAACCTTTTTTGCGCCACGGACGGTTTATGCCCGACAATATTTTCACGACCGGCCTTTAAGGTGTCGCGGATAAACGAGGGAGGGGCTAATAATCGGCTCAGTCATTTTTAATGATCGTTGAAAGCCCAGATCGTAATCGTGATTAAAATTCGATTAATTGAGCAGCCCTAATTTCAAGTCTGACAAAAAACAGAGTAGCGTTCACTGTAAATTGTGCCGAAAGCAAGTCTGGAAATACAATAAACTGGTGCATGCGCTACGTCCACACGTCCACGGGTATTTTTGAAAACGCAGATTTTTCTATGCGTTTGCACCTTTCGTCCACACATAAACGGCGTCTTTGGTCACTGAAAACGAAGATTTTTGAAAACTCAGTTTTTGCATTTACGCGTGGACTAGAAAAATGGAGAAAACGCAGCGTCAAAGGTGTGCGCATTTTTTGACGTCACACTGTGCGCCACGTTATTGTTTCGGTGAAATGAATTTCTACAATACTGTTAATTCTACTCTCTGCAGTGTTTAAATGCTTACATATACACACAGTTACTGTCCCTCCACACATACGACTCGGTTCTGCTTCTATGCCCCAGCTTTGTTTACTTTTTCCCACCGAGGCTTCTAGACTTCTGATTGGTCAACATTTCTGCACGGTTAGGAATCTAGCGCCACCTGCTGCTTTGGCGTGTTCATAGCAGCGTTTTCCTTCATTTCTCCCTTTATGTGTGGACGGGATTATTTTTTAAAACGAAAACGGAAAATCTCCGTTTTCAAAAATACCCGTGTACGTGTGGATGTAGCCTCAGTCTCTGACTGGAAGCGCTAATTTGTCATTCGGCTTTTGTCAGACTAAAGTAACTGTTACAACTGTTTGAAAAGCTCAGCTATACAACAAGGAGAGATTGAGAATTTCCTTTTAGTTCTCAGTTTATTTGACATTGACAAAAGTTAGTCAGTTTTGTCTGTTCTTCTGTAAAACAAACTAAGATTTATTTTTAGAATTAATATTTTGTTTCTAAGTGGAATTGACAGTTTAGTCTGTTTCGTTTGTTCTATTTTGAAACTTAAACGCTTTAGCGGCTGCCTTTTGTGTAGTTTGCAATATTTGCCTTATTTATCTGAAAAAGTCTCATGTTCCTTAAGTACATCTACCCTGTTGAACTTATTATGGGAAATAAATATTTAAATAAAAACAAGCTGCTGATTATTTCACATTTTACTTGTGAGCAACGGCACATTTAAATCTTACAAATATAGTTATTTGGCTGATATCGTGATAGATATCGTTATCGCCTGAAATGAAAAAAACATATCGTGATATGAAAAAATCTTATATCGCCCAGCTCTACTGCAAACAGTTTATTTTACGACACCACGAAACAAACGATAGCGTAAAATGAAACAATAGATGTTTTTATATCATCATCCGATATATATCGTTATATCGAGCAGCTCTAGTGTGTGGGATTAAAGATAAAAACCAGAGCACTGCCTACATTTTAATACTGACTTCACAGCTAGCTACAAAAATGTAAGAAACATGTTTGAAATAATGATTGTAAAAGTAGAGTTCATCATCTCAGCCACGTCTGACCAGAACCTGCAGTCTCTCATCCAGCGCTCCGCCTCAGTCTGCAGCTTCACCTGCTCACAGCCCTCAAACCTTTGGCTGCTCTGCCCACTCTTTATTTGCCTGGATGGTGAGTTCTCCACACTCCTGTGCTCAGGGTCAGCAGGCAGGTTTGTGGCTGCTCTGCACAGCCACAAACCTGCCTGCTTCTCCACTGTGCTCAAACCCCCAGCCTTCATCTGTCTGTGGTGGTTAGCACTGTTGCCTCACAGCATGAAGGTCCTGAGATCAACTCCACCATCAGGCTGTCTGTGTGGACTGGGTGTGTGTGGTGTCGTAGGGTTCATTGGTTAACCCTTGTGGAAGAGTGGACATGTCCCAGTGGATACTGGACTACCTCACAGAACGTCCACAGTATGTGAGGACACAGGGCTGTGTCTCTGACAGGCTGGTCTGCAGTACGGGGGCCCCACACTGTGCTGGCACCGTTCCTCTTCACCCTCTACACTGCAGACGTCTCCATCAACTCCCCACGCTGCCACCTACAGAAGTTCTCTGACGACTCTGCCATAGTCGCCTCATCACAGGTGAGGACGACTCAGAGTACAGACACTGGACTCTGGACTTTGTGGACTGGTGTCAGCAGAACCACCTGCTGATCAACGCCGGGAAAACCAAGGAGTTGGTGGTGGACTTCCGGAGACGCAGACCCACCACACTGACAGCGGTGAACATCCAGGGAGTGGACATTGAGATAGTGGACTCTTATAGGTACCTGAATAATAAACTGGAGCCACAACACTGATGCTCTGTACAGGAAGGGTCAGAGCAGACTCTACCTGCTGAGGTCATTTGGAGTCCAGGGAGCGCTTTTAAAGACCTTCTATGACTCTGTGGTGGCATCTGTCATTTTTTAGTGTTGTATGTTGGAGCAGCGGTTTATCTGCAGCTGAGAGGAAGAGGCTGGATAAACTCATGAGGAAGGCCAGCTCTGTTCTGTAATGCACCCTGGACCCAGTGCAGGTGGTGGAGACAGAAGGACTCTGGCCAAAATAACATCTCTGATGGACAGAGTCTCCCCTCCATGCATGCAGATGTTGCTGCAGAGAGAGTGACAGACTGCTGCATCCTCGATGCACGAAGGAGCGTTTCTGCAGGTCCTTCCTCCCTGCAGCTGTCAGACTGCACAATCAGAACTGCTCCCAACAAACATAGATGTTTACATCTGTAACTGCACTATTTTATTTTATTAACCGATTCGCACTACAACCTGCTTTGCCTCTTATCTGTAGTTAATTTTATTTAATTTAATAACTGTACAGTACTCACTGTTTATAGTAACCATTGTCCTTGATGTAAATATGTAAAAATTGTGTATGTTTCTGTTCTGTGTCCTGTGTACTGTTTGTTTGTATTTGTCTTTATTGCTGCTGTTACATCCAAATTTCCCCTTGTGGGACAATTAAAGGATTATTCTATTCTATTCTATTCTATTCTATTCAAGTCCACCAGAGCTTTGCATTTTTACATTTTTACATGCTGTAGTGCCATTTTGGACTTTTCAAGTTGCTATACATCAATACAAGCAGTATATCCCAAATTGTAATGATGTGTAATTAGTCTACAGGAAATTGCAAAAACAATAAACTCCAAAAATAGTTTTTGTTTGTTTACACATATTTCTAGAAATTTCAGAGTTTGATCTTCCAGATCTGTAAATACAAAACAAGCTGCATAAAATAGTTTCAAAGCATAGAAAATTTATTCTGAGCATCTTCATAGTTTCATTTTTGAGATGCACTCATTTTGATAAACTGCAAGAAAAATGAAAATAAACATTATTGTGCACAATTTGCAACAAAACAGCATCAAAACTGTTTCCAACAGTGCAGTGTAAGTTCTCAGCCTCCCAGAAACTGTCAAAAACAGCAGTAACCTTTGAAAGGCCCTGCAGGGCAAAGCTTCCCGTGTGAAATGACGTCCTCCCGGGTTTCATACAGCTTTGTGCAAACAGAGCAACCTGCTCTGAAAAGCCTTCCACATGCTAGAGGAAGAGGTGACGGATGTGGTGATGTAGCAGCACATTAGATGTGGCTTAAACGATGATGATGATGATTATATGTGTTGCCCCCATTAAGTGGCATTAGGACTGAGGTCAGTTCAAATCTGTGGCCAAATGGAGCGTCAAGATTCCCAGCACCGGTGTCTAGTTGCAGAGTACTGCCGCACACAGTGTTTGACACTGATCGTCTACACATCGTCGTCTACGTGTTCCTTATGTGTATGTTTGTGCACTTGTTGTGTACTGTGTAGAGAAAACATATGAGAGGGTGCCAAGAAAGGACCTGTGGAAGCAGAGTGTGAGGATGCTGCACGACGTGTGACGGGTCGGCTGGTGATGACATTAGGGCTGCTCAATTAATCGAATTTTAATCACGATTACGATCTGGGCTTTCAACGATCATTAAAAATGAGAGCCGATTATTAGCCCCTCCCTCGTTTATCCGCGACACCTTAAAGGCCGGTCGTGAAAATATTGTCGGGCATAAACCGTCCGTGGCGCAAAAAAGGTTGGAGACCGCTGATTAAGAGGACCCGAGGGAAGCTCGGAAAGCTAAGCAGAAGTTATTTGGAGAGTGACTGCGTTGGTTGAAAAGAGAGTAAAAAAAAACTTCAGTGGTGTTGCACACTATTTATATTTTTTTAAAGTCATTGTTAACCCTTTAAAGCCGGTCAGAGCAGCACGCTCCGTTTGTGTAACTATTTTTAAATCCCTGTAGAACCTGAACCGTGTAAGCTAGCGCAATAATTTGTTTTGCATATGAAACCGGAGGAGTTGTACTTACATCTGATGCCATCAGCTTGTCCTCGGTCACGGTTTCCTTCCACATATAGCTTTGCAAAAACTGCATAAAAAGCTCTTGCAGGAACAAAAACATAATATTCCAGAAACACGCTTTGCCGATCTGATCAGCTGTTCGTAACACTTCCCACAGTGAAACAGACGTCAGCGCGAACTGTCACATGTCCGCCATTTCCTGCCCGAAACCGGAAGTGACGTCATTTTCGCGGAAATTGTAGTTTTTTACTTGTAGGCCTTAAAAGCCTATACTGGTCATGTTTGACTTTTCTGAATAGTTGCTGGGATGCTTAGAACTGAAACTTCACTGCTGGAAATAGTTTATTTGATGCACCTGCTGTTTTCTTTGAAAATTTGAATCATAGGATTGTTTTTCGTTTTTCCTGCAGTATATAAAAATTGGTGTATCTCCAAAATAAAACTATGAAGACACTCAAAATAAATTTCCTGTTGTTGTAAACTATTTTTTGCAACTTTTTTGTATTTAAAGTTTTGAGGATAAACCTTAAATTTCTCCAAGTAGAAATATATGTAAAAAAAACAAAAACGATTTTCAATTTTTTTTGTAGTTTATTGCACTTTTTTGCAATTAATGTCGTTACTATGGATATACATATTATTAAAATATGGGCTATAACAGTTGCATAGCAACTTTAAATGCTCCCACAAACGGCACTACAACATGTAAAAATTTAATATAAGCTCTGGTGGACTTGGTTCTATAGTAGGTCGTAAGGGTTAAATAAATATCGTCAAATAATCGCGATCTCAATTTCAGTGAAAATAATCGTGATTATCATTTTTGACATAATCGAGCAGCCCTAGATGACATCATGACTCGGAGACCTTTTCTGTTTGCAGGAGGTCTTTAGCAAATATGATTATTGAAGCTTGAATCTTACACACACACACGCACACACAGTCTCATTGGACTCCTTCACACAGTAATCACACTTCTTATGGTGATCATGGGTGCCTGTTCCAATCCAGTCCATAAAATGTGATGCTGACATTTGTCTGTCATCGTCACCTGTCAGGAAACAGCCTGAAAGTAGCTGTTTAGAGATGAACTATCACACTAAGTAAACTATGAAAGGCTGTAAAAGCAGGGTGGTGCATGAACGGCCTTTAACAGCAGATGATTGCACTATAAAACTCCTACTGTCATACAGCACTACGTAAACATGTGACTTAAACCCCTACTGTAGCTTGTTGGTAATACCCCTGACCCTCACCTCACTATCTGCTTTAAGACAAATGATTTGGAACGGTGCTCATGTGCCATGAATGCGATTTCTTAGCGTGTTTCTGACGTCCGTCACGATGTTGTGTCAGCAGGCCCAGCGCGAGGTCAGCCCATCAATATGAACGGCGCCGGCCAGTCCCCGGAGAACTTGCAGCAGATGAAGAAACGGGTGGAGCAAGAGCTGAAGAGTGACAAATACAAATCGAGCAGCAATAAGGGCTACGTGTTCACGCTGATGCCGCTCTACGCCATTGGAGTGGGAGTGTTTGCAGCATACAAGTTTTTGAAGGTAACTACGTACACTGCAGCACCTCAGGTCTCGGATAGCATCTACAGTTTGAGCCGTCATGTTTGTTTTTGTTCCAGATCAGGTCTACAGACAACAAGGCCCAAAAGGACAAGTTTGCAAAAGGGGCCAAAAAATCCATGGAGGCAGGTGTGTGTCAGGATATGTGTTTGCACGTTTTATTTGGTTTCAGTCGTGGTTTCCCCATCGTGTGTGTTTGCTTTCATGCAGAGAACCAGTTGAACGAGCTGGAACAAAGGCTTGCACAGACAGAGAGGATGCTCAATTCCATCCTCACCCAGCTGGACCCGCTGACCAACTGGTGAGTGACCTTCCCAGTCAGGTTTCTCCAGGTGTTCCCCACACAGCTCTCAAACATGACTCTAACCCGCCTGCAGGACGGCGTGGAGCTGATCACCTGACTTTAGTTTCATGTAATAAAACGGCCGTTATGACAAACACAGACCCTGTGAGAATCGTCTCTTCTCTTTTGTTCCTCCAGCGTGAAGTCGGTGGCCCAGGAACAGAAGAATGAGATCATGTCTCAGCTGCAGACCATTCGGTACCTGATGAAGAAGAGAGGAATGGACTGTCCACCCCTCCATGCCACCAGTGGGTTGTTTGTTTTTAACCGTGCAGCATAATTCAGTCACTTTGTGGTGATCAGAGTGAATTTGTCAGGTGTTGCAGACCTGACTCTAGACTGTGTGGTTGCTGTTTTCAGATTGTGTGCAAAATAGAAACACATCCCAGTTTCTATTGTTCTTACTGACGAATGAGGAGAACGCTCTCAGTGTTTGATTTACACTGTTACTGCACATCGTCGATGTTTGAAGGAGCGTGATATGTTTGATAGTTGAGAACAATGGTCCTCATTAACAAAGCCTGTTTTGTTCTTGCTGTCGTGTCATGTTAGTGAATTCGACCAGCCTGTGGAATCTGCATATTGTCTGCACGTGGCACGCCCACATGTCTCTGTATAAGCAGAGCTGACCCACCAGAGGAGAAAGAGTGAGTGGGGAAAGTGACCCAGACAGGCTTTGTAAAAGGGTCCACGCTGCAGCGAGGACATCTTTTAAAAGAGAGGCTGTGGCTGAAATACAGGATCACTCAAAGCTGATGTTACTGTAGTGATGGTGACATTTGTTCGTACGCATGGTGAGAGGCACTTCTAAGTTTGTTCACAAACTCAATAAATTCAGGTGCAAAAGTCTGAATAAATCACTGATTGCTTAAAGAAATGTTTCTACATCAGCGCCTGCACAGATCAGTCCATGAGAGGAAATCTTGATGCAGTGCACCGTAGTGTATCAGTGTAGTGTATCAGTGTACACTACACTGATACACTACACTGTACAGTGTAGTGTATCAGTGTCTAACTCTAGGTCTCCTGTGAAAGGAGAGGCGTGTGTGGCTGATGCGAGGCAGGTCAGGACCGGGATGCCGACTCGTTTCTCTCTGTTTTGCATTTATGGTCAGCGTTGGGTTTGCAGTAACTCCGCATTCAGCACTGTTCGATATCCATCCTGCGTGTGGCGTGAAGACTGTGGGCTGTGTTTTAAAATCAGGTGGTTGAAGCTGACAACCACAGTCACACCTGACAGCAGAGCAGAGTGGGCTGCAGGATTGGTTGGTGTCGCTCTCTCCTCAGGTTTCTCTTCCTAAAACTGAAGGTGTGACCCAAATATTCCACCACTCCACCCGTGAGAATCAAAAAGCACGTCTGATTCAGTTTGGCCTGTGTGCCTTTTCTTGCACCATTTTTAGCCACATCCTGGAGATCTCGCTGTAAGCCCTTATAGTGTGCACTCTGCTGTTTGACCACAAACCTCACGCTTTACATGCATCATCTCTGTGGATGGCAGCTGGGTGTCCAATTTCAGCCAAGCAGTTTCCAGTTGAAGGCTCCACAGTCTCACGTGTTGGTGGAGCGTACTCTCCCTTTTTAATTGACATTTGTTCCTCTGGATCCTGTCCATTGCTTCTACTTCCACAAAATCAAAACTGAGTTTATGTGATCTTCAAACCCACTTTGGTACATCGAGACACATAAAATGGAGTCAGTCTGCGATCATCTTTCAACAGCGATGAATAGTTATGCTGTGCCAGAGGCAGGCGTGTCTCAGCTACAGAGTGGGGCCAGTCTCTCATTCACACATTTAGAAACAAACAAAGGTAACTCGTTTACTTCGTTAACGAACAGCAATCTGCCACGAGCAACCTGGGGAGTAAATGAGGGAGCGAGTAGAGTAAAAATGCACCTTTACTCTGAAATCAGTGTGTTTAAACAAGTGTAGATACATGAAAGGAGGCTGAATAAAAGTCATTAATGTTATTCATATAGCACCTTCATAGATAAAAGATCATAAAGTGCTTCAGACAGAGATGACACAGTATAAAACAAAAACAGACAAAAGTTAACGAAATGCAATTTTAAAAAGATGTTTTTAGTTGTTTTAAAACAAAGCAACTAAAAACCTGTGGCTGAGCTTTGGTAGAGACTCTGCTCACCACAGGATTCGTTATTAAAAACCATTTCTGCAGATAATCAGCTGACACGTGTGATGTGTCGAAGCAGAAATACTACGCTCAGTGTTGGCGTCAGAGCTGACGGAGAGGAGCAGCCGCACTAACCTGTCATTCCCTGCATCATCGCAGCATGGACATTTAGACTGTCGGAGCAACAAAACGCCATCACAGCAGATACTCTTTAAGGAATCTGATCTCGTCTCCTTTTCTTTCTTAGCCTGAAACTGAATTCTGTGCCGCGACGCTGTAACATTATTATTACTACAAATTAAAGAGTGAAACGGAGTGACAGCACTCGATTCACTTCTGGCTTATAAAATTGTTTGTCTTTGTCTTGTCAAATGCAAAGAGGACAGCTTGGTTTGAGAATGTTGTGCATATGAATTTAACCAGCAGCCACACAATCGAACGCACTAATACAGCCCTGCTATAGCTGCATTTTGACTGACACCACCTTTCACAGGAAGTTGCTCTGTGTGCACACTGCTGAGAAAAGGCACGGAGAGATGTAACACTGAAATCCACCGCTCGCTGTAAAAACAAGATATCTGCAGATTTTGGTCCTCCTGTCATCAAGTTCACTTCAGTTCTGCTGTGTTTCAATAATGTTAGTAATGAAAACATGTGGCTCTAAGCACGCGGAGTAGAGAGGGCAGAGATTTGAAACTCTAGGCGCTAGGTGCAAAATAAGAAATACTGTTCAGTAAATTTGCTACAACTTTGCTGTAAATGTTTGGCAAACTTGAGTAAGTCGAGGTGTTGAACTGGTCACAAAGATATCTTTGAGTGGAACATGCAATGTCATGTGTAGTCCTGACTCATAAAGCTTATTGCTGGCTCTCCGTTACGTGCACAAGAAGAAATGTTGTTCTTTAATCAGCTTCTTTGTTCCAGGTGGCGAGCGTAATCTGGACGACCTGATTGAGTCCCTTGGGGCAAGTGATACTTCAGACAAGCAGCCGTCCAGCGAGAAAGCAGAGCCTACTGCAAGAGTTTCTGAAGAGCATTCAGACATTAAGCATGAAGCAGAAGGTGAAGAGACGAAGGAAGTGAGACCAGAGGAATATGATGGAGACGAAACAGTGGAAGAATGTGACAGAGGAAGAAGAGGAAGGATGGTGGGAACACTCGGAGCTCATACCCTCTTTAGAAGCCTCACGTGAGACGGAGGAGATTGGGGCGGAGCAGCTCGTGTCCGGCCTCAGGCGACGCAACAGGCCTGAATGAACCTGGACTGTGACATTATTACAAATATTTATTCTTTAAAAATGCTTCAGATGTTTCCCAAAAGCCTGTCTGCATATTCATCAAGACGTATGATAGAGTCTTTAGGAAAAGAAAGCCTGGTAACATGTTCCCGAAGATGGAGATGGCACTTTGGTCTGATCTTGTTTTCTCCTCAGCTCCACCATGAATTTAAAGAATCTTAGCAACAACGACACTCAAGATTCAGCTTGTAGTCAGTTCGGCCTATAAAGTCAATGATGCCAGTTTGCAGTTACACAAGGTAAAAGGTTCAACGAGGCTCAAAGATTCCCATTAAGGAGTTTCCATGTTCCTAAAATGTTTTTTTAAATTCATCCTGTTGCATCCTAACAGAGTCTGTCAGTGATGCTACGCAGTCTAACTTTGTCTGCGTCCTGTCGCCTGTACAGACTCAGCCACCGCACATTTGGCTTCTCTTCTTTGTGCTGTAGCGAAAATTAGAGACAACAGTTTGTTTAAGCTTTTTATACACTGATCGGATCTACTCCTGACATTCATTTTAATTTTGCTCTTACTTGAATATTTAAATGCAAACACGTTGTGTTTACCTACCAGTGGGGCAGCTTGTGCCGGCTGTTTGCTCAGCCTGCAGAGACAAAGCACCGTGTCTGCTTGTGCGCTTGTTGTTCTCACCATGAAGCAGGACGACGGACTCTAGTGCAGGGCTGTGCTGCCACCCTCAGATTGCTTTCGGCCTAGTTGTGATTTGACAGCTGGGTTTAGCTGCGCTCGTGCGGAGTCTGATAGTTTCAGGATTTCTTCCCCATAAAGAACATGTTGATCTAAATCCCTCTGTGCTAATGGAAATGACCAAGTGCTGCTGCTGGATCCTTTTGGAACTAAAAATATGTCCAACGTGTGGAAAGTTGTTTATACATGAAAACATTGCATGTGTGACTTCCTTGTGTGTAAGCAGTGAATGCACGCCACAATGACCCTCACCTGGTATGATAGAAACATTTGACCTTATGTTTCATTTCTGTCAGCACGAGTCATCACTTTACCTCTTCTTGCTGTTATTTATTTAAATATTTATCTGATGACATTTTAACAGTCAGAGCTTACTGTGACGAGGCTCCTGTGCACCTCAGACTGCTTTTGGGTTCTCAGTAGTTTGAAGGCAGCTTCTCTTCTGTCTTTTTGCTGATATGAGCTAATGGCAAGTAGTACTTCCACAAATGAAGCTATGGTTATATTAAGCATGTGTGTGTGGTTTGCATCTAAATTTGCTCCATGTGGGACTAATGCCGATGTAGTAAAATGAATCGAATGACTTTAAAATAATAGAGGCTGCCCTGAGCGATGGTCTTTACTGTCTGTTGTCAGACCAAAGCACGACTTTGCCTTATATGTGAAGAAATAAAAAAACAAGACGTCACAGTTCTGACACCAACTACTCATCAACACGTTTTGGAAAGCACTAATGTCTGCCTTAACCTACTTACATGTTTCATATTGTTATGTTCCTATTATGCATATTAACATTTGTGTAATGAAGGTTGTGTGTTTTGTGTGTCTGCTGAGTCGTTAAACTTGGCTCGGCTTAGAATGAAATAAAAATAATTCAATGTCATTCTTTGGTTCTGCTTGTTTTCGGAGTTTCAGTGAATATGAAACGATGCTGGATCATTCGATATTTTCGCCTTCATGTCACTTATAAAGAAGTTTTCATCAATGGTGCGACACACACATATAAAACTGCCAAGACTCACAGCCTTGGCCAGCTGCTTGAAGAGATACGCCAGAGAGAGAGAAGGCAGGAGAATAAACCAGCTGTTCTCTACAGAACCATCCAAGGTGTACTCTCAGTGGCAGGGAACAATATGAGAACAGCAAGGCTCGAGACAGAGGCTGTGTCCCAATCCAGCGACCGCACGCTTCGGAGTACGCATTGAAAGACCTATTACGTCACAGCGACGCGACGACGGCTGTCCCAATCCGAAGTGTACTCCAAATGCGGTCTGTCACTGTCGCTACCCGATCCGTAACGGAAACTGTTAGGTTTTGTATTGTTGATTGTCATTTATGCTTAGAAATATCTACTTATATATGCTTAGAGTTTTATAATTAGTTGTAGATTGGTAGAGGTTTGATCCTTGATAGTCTGCAAACTTTGTGTGCATTAGAGAGCACTCTGGGAGTATAAGAGAGGTCCTATCTTCTCTTGTTATATGGTATAGCAAACACACGTATATCTCTTTGAGTATGAGAGCCTTTTGTTCAGATGGACCCGCTAGACTCCTGGCACCAGCTTTGGGGAGTCTTCACAGGGTCACATCTTGACCTCACACAAATCACACACACAAAGGCAAGGTACTCTTTGTGTGTATGTAGACGTCATATGTTAATGAACTTATGCATATTCATGTAACCTCAATAAAAGAGCAGTGTTACGGGAGAACGGACGAGAGCAACTGGGGTCAAGCGAAGGAACGGCGTTTGTCCGGTTCTCTCTCGTGCACGAGAAACATGAAGAACTTTGCCTACTTCGTGTCTTGCTTGCTGTGTAATTATATTGTCTTCAACGTTCCAGCGGATAGGTTCAAGCTACAAACCTATCAGAAACCCGATCCGTACCCCGCATGTCCAAAAGGCAGAGGTGTGGACTCGAGTCACATGACTTGGACTCGAGTCATTAATTTTATGACTTTAGACTTGACTTGAAAAAATGTTCTAAGACTTGTGACTTGACTTGGACTTTTACACCAATGACTTGGGACTTGAATTGGACTTGAACCGGTTTACTTGAAAAGACTTGATATTTTACCCCAAATATAAAATTTAACATGCATATTATATAGAGATTGAAAATGTGACGTCATTCATGGGTAAAACCGCAAAGGATTCTGGGAACTCGTGGCAAGAGGTACTAGCGCACGCAGGCTTTCAATTAAAATCAGTTATACAGCAATAAAAAGAAACACAAAAATGTCAAGAAGCTGTTGTATTATTAACTGCAATAGCCGGTCGCATGACAGCCACGGGAAGCCGACGAGTAAAGAGATCGGTTGTTATCGGATTACGTCGTTGAAGAGAAATTGTTCGAGCCATGTTTCCGAAGTAACAAAGACGCGACTGGATTGCAGCCATTCAAAGACCAAATATAACGTCCCAGAACACTCCAGCTCACAGGTTAGTCTGCTCCAAGCATTTACATGAAGGTCAGTCTGCTGTTGTAGTTAATGCGTCATTTTCATAACATAATTAGTGATATAGGTTACAAGCAAGTCTGGCGCTGAACAGAAATTGTCGCGCTATGCTCCTTTATTTATTGTGCATAAATAGTGAATTGTCCTGACACAATATTGCGTTTCGCTTCTGTTATTATGGTACATTGACAAAAACATATACTTTTATTCACAGGATAAAACAATTGTTTTGTATCACTAATTGCCCAGTACGATTACAGCATACAGTATTATTGTCACTGCTACATTTCTGTGATGCTACCAGAAATTATTTCCACTACTAATTAATTACCGCTGAGCTCAAAGGTCCTATTAATAAACGGTTAACGAATCTGTATTTATGACAATTTGTGAGACTGGTAAACTTATGATACGTACGATGGTCTTTCGTTCTACACGGTGCATTTCAAGGTCCTGCACCCATCCGTCGGTAAACTGTACCTGGGCTTGTTGCAGTGACCTGAAGTTACTAAACTTTATGAGTGTATGCACTCACTCCAAGAACCGTATGATTATAAATATGCATATAAATATGCTAAGATGAGATAGCTGACTTCATCTAACTAGCAAATGTTGTCCAGGCTACGTTGGTGATGCAGTTTTTTTTTTTAATGTGTGTGATATTTTTGTCATGCGATTTTAAAGCCGGTCCTACAACTGCATCCAAGAATAACATGCAGCTTATCTCAGAACTGTCGGTGAAAATTATTCTTGGAGCTAAGTTTAATTGAGCTGCATTTTAAAGAGGTGCAATTTCACAATTTGTGTATATTTTGTCATGTGTTGAGAAAAACACAGATTTTAAAATTACATGGTCTAATATTTACATTTAGCATAACTGCAACATGCTTTTTTCGTTTTTTTTTTTAAAGACTCGAAAGGACTTGAAATTCAAAATTTCAGACTTGTGACTTGACTCGGACTTTTACACCAGTGACTTGAGACTCGACTCTGACTTGCCTGACATTACTTGAGACTTGACTTGAGGATAAAGACTTGAGACTTACTTGAGACTTGCAAAACAATGACTTGGTCCCACCTCTGCCAAAAGGCCACTGCTTACTTACTCGAAGCATTTTACAATAGTTACAGGTCAGAGTATCTGTTAAGATTTTAAGAATAATAAATATGTCTTAAAATGTTTCCAATAATGAAACATTTCAATATAATGTAGACAAAAACGAAAAATAAAAAGATAGTTACGGATCAGGACTCCCGATCCTTACTGCGCATGTGCAAAGTCGGACCGTACAAATCGGGTCTACCGATCCGTACCGTGCATGTGCAGGGGTTTCTTCTTCTTCTGT